CCAGAAGAAATAATTTTACAAATATATTTTGAATAAGGTTTTGTTATTTCAACTTGTGTGTGTGTGAATAACTGATTGTAATCCAGTTGTGAGGGATAAAAAAATTGTGAAATGAAAACCAACTGCAAATAGTACAAGGTCAGAGGCTATGTTATAGTCGATGCATCTGATAAAGCCCTTGATGGAAAGAAAGATGGACACACCTCTCTCTATCTCTTTCTCTGCCTCTCTGTAACTCTTTCAAATAAATAAATCTTAAAAAAAAAAATGGGGCCAGGCTGTGGCTTAGTAGGTAAAGCTGCCGCCTGCAGTGTCAGCACCCCAAATGGGCACCGGTTCTAGTCCCAGCTGCCCACTTCCGATCCAGCTCTCTGCTGTGGCCTGGGAAAGCAGTAGAAGATGGCACAAGTGCTTGGGACCCTGCATGCACGTGGGAGACCCAGAAGAAGCTCCTGGCTCCTGGCTTTGGATTGGCCCAGCTCTGGCTCTTACAGCCATCTGGGGAGTGAACCAGCAGATGGAAGAACCTCTCTCTCTCTCTCTCTCTCTCTCTCTCTCACTCTGCCTCTCTGTAACTCTGCCTTTCAAATAAATAAATAAATCTTTAAAAAAATAAAGAAAGATACACATACACACAAGCTTTACCAAAAGAAAATCTGTTTTGCCACTAAATCTGCCAGCGTGCAAATACTGGGGCTGCCGTGGGCTGTGAGCTCACGCGGCAGCGACCTCGCTCCGTCCCTGTGGTACAAAAGCGGCCTGGCCCTGAGGGTGGGCTCCGACAGGACGGAGCTGACAGTGGCGGGCGGTGGCCAGCGAGGCCCACGGAGCGGGGCTGAGTTTACCCAGCAGCCTCCCTGTCCGCTGTGCCGGGCCTGGGTATCTGCCGATGCGGACGCTGTGGGGTGGCAGCGTCTCCGGGAAGATGAAGACGAGTGTTTCTGCGCCTCTGTCTCCAGTTAGGTGCAGCCGCGGCTCCTATCCTGTTCCTTGCGTCCGGTCTGACTCCGCCCTTGGCTAAGTGCTTGGCTGGACTTTGGGCCAGACGGGAATCCCTCGGGTCTAGTGTGTCCTCCGTAAGGAGATTTAAAAAAATAGCATCTCCTCTCGGTCACGGGTCAAAGTCAGCAGGCCCTGCCCCCTCCATGCTCGCTCCCACCCCTCACTCGGGACCCACGGCTGCCTGCGCAATGCTGGTTCCCGGGCCCCGAGGCAGAGGCCACAGTCCCCCTTTCCCCGGGAGGCACTTTGCAAACACTAAGCCGCTGTTTTCCCAAGCCCGTTTTGGGAAAGCCCAGGCACCGTGGAAGCACCTTGCACAGCTGGGAGTCCGTTCCCCGCGGGTGTTCTGAGCGGGGGCACGATCTTCCTGCCGTCGGTTCTCCCAGCCGGTCTCAGCACAGGAGCCTACGGCTGACATGTCGCCCTTTGCCTCCCTTTCCCGGATAAGACGTCCAAGATGAGGTTCACTGTGTCCGGGAGTTGGCCCGGCAGGGTACCCACAGGCTTCTGTCTCCAGCTGATCCAGAGCCCCAGGGGAGGGAAGCCGCATTTTTCCAGCCCCAACAGCATGCCTGAGGGCTGATGTCATGGCCAGCCTGGCCCTCCCTCTGTTTCCTGTTCCGTCCTCCTGACAGACACATGACTCAGACTCCTCCATCGCTGCACTCCTAGCTCGTTTCCCTGTTCCACAAACATTAGGAGCCAAGTGCAATCAAAACACCAAGCCCGAGGCGCTTTTTTCTTGCAAAAAGGGAACACATGTTCTCTTGAAAGGAAGCACACCATCTGGCTTCATTTGGAGTTCTCTCGGCTGAGCACTTGGCTCCTGGGTCAGACAGTGCTGATGTCATCCAGAGAGCTGGCCGCTTCCTGTGCCCCGGGGGCGGGCCGGGTCCCAGCCACGGGGGCGAAGTTTTCCTAAAAGTGAAGCCAGCTGAGTGTGTGGAGACTGCCCGAACGCAGGCAGCCGTCTGGGATCTCGTGTCTGCTGCCACGATTCCCACGTGCCTGCCCCTCTGCTTCTCAGCCTCGCGACTCCCCAGGAGAAACTATACAAAGGCGGCCCCAGCAAAGAATTCGGGCCGGGCACGTGAATCCAATGACTTGTGGAGGAAGGCGTGGGGTAGGTAGGTCAGAGACTCGCTCAGTCACTGGAAGGCATTCTCGCCTACTCGCTCACATAGACTGCAGAATCTACGGTCCACTCACTATGCTGCAGCTCCAGTCCTGGGGCCTTCCTTGACGAACTCAGGAGGTTAATGTCATCATTCCCACTTTACAGATGGAGAAGTGGAGGCACCAGGCAGCTGGCCAACGTCAGAGCCTGCATGGATGGTGACCCTGGGCGGCCTGTACCGTGCAACATGAGATTATTATGAGAAAACGCATCCGTTATTACAATGCCCACACATATTTCAGAAACACCTCGTATATTTTAGTAACATCTGGCCTGCTGAGGGTTGACACTGATGTTGATGAGAGCCACACTGAGGTGATGTGAAAATACAACCTGACTGCGCACACACACAAAGAATACCGCTGCCTCGCTCTGCCGGGCGCTCTGTGCCCCGGGCGTGGGTCTGCGGTCCTGGCGGGCTCCACCGCAGAGCCCTGCAAACCCAGATGTGGTCACTCTGCACAACGAATCCAGATGTGGTGACCGCACTCCACGGTCCGCCTGGGCTCTGATCTGCTGTTGCTCTGGTCTTGGCTGTGTGCTGAACACTTTCTAAAGATGTTGGGTGGGCCGGGCTCGCCCACTTTAACTGCCTCTTTCGTGTCTTTGAAAGATAAGAGTTAATTCAGAGAAGGCTGTGATAATTGAATCCGACTCTGTCTGCACTTGTCCGACAAGGGGGGAGGGGGTCAGACAGTAGCTTGCTTTCATCGGCTCCTTCTCAATTGGCCAATTAACCCCGTGACCCCGGATTTCATCCTCCTGGTGCATCCACCTCTCTCCCAGCTGTTCTCCAGCGGCCCGGGGAAGCAAGCTGGACTTAATCCTGACTTCAGACGGGAAGCTGCAGATCCTAAATGCAGCTGTTGTGTTCTTCACTGTGGCAACACGCATGGAACGTGAATGCACCGTTTTAACCATCTTTGTCACTAAGTACCTTCAAATTGTGCCACCGGCGCCATCATCCATCTCGTTTCTCACCTCCCCAAACTGAAACTGTACCCTCTCCCCCACCCCTACGACCCCATTCTGCTTCTTTCTCCATGAATTTGAGGCCTCTGGGTGGTCTCAAACATTATTTGCCCTGTGGCTGGTTTCTCTCACCTAACACAGCGCCCTCCAGGCTGATGCACGTGGAGGCGTGGGTCACCGTTTCCTCCCTTTCCAAGAAGGCTGCGCGACATCCCACTGGATGGGGCCGCCCCGTCCATCTGTCCAAGACGCTGGGATCGCTTCCGGTTTCAGCCGTTACGAATAACGCCGCCATGAATTTGCTCCCCATTCTTTGGGGCACACACCCGGAAGTGGAGTCGCTGCATCACGTGGCAATTCTACTCTGACATGCCTACTGATTTTTGTGGAATCCCCTCCCCACAAGGATGGGCAGGTGCCTTTTCAAATGCCTACGGCTAAATCTAAAGAAAGATCATAACGAACTTGGGTGTCATGACAAACCTGACGAAATTCACCAGTAAGGCTGCAGTTTTGCCTTTTCTTTCTCACTTATCCATTCATTCAAGAAATTTGGGGGCCGGCATTGTGGCCCAGTGGGTGGAGCCACCACCTGCAATGCTCGCGTCCCATCCTGGAGCGCCAGTTCAAGTCCAGGCTGCTCTGCTTCCCACCCAGCTCCCTGCTAATGCACCTCGGAAGGCAGCAGGAGATGGTTCAAGTACTTGGGTCTCTGCACCTGCATGGGAGACACAGCTGAAGCTCCTGGCTCCTGTCTTCAGCCTAGCCCAACCCCAGCCGTTGCAGCCATGTGGGAGTGACCCAGTGGATAGAAGATTTCTCTCACTCGCTCGCTTTCACTCCACCTTTCAAATAAATAAATAAACCTCTAAAAAGTTTTGCCAGCTGCCCTCTCTTTGGGGAGTGAGTTAAAGAAGAGTCTACTACGAATAGCAAGCGGTTGGTGTTACAAACCAGACAACGGAAGCAGAAGGTTGCGTGAGATGCGCTCTTTGAAGATTCTAAGCAGTGCAGAGTCCTGCTTTGTTCCCCGTTTCCCCAGAATTCAGCTACTCAGGGCGCACCCGTGTCTCGGTTTTACAGTCATATGAAGCCTTCTGCATCTGGGGCAGCGTCCCACTGTGTCCCCACCCACTGTCCCGGGGATGTCTGTGTCTGTGCCTCACTGCTGCAACCCACACCTGCACCGTGGTGAAGATGGGCCCAGGGCTGGCAGGCGTCACAGGGCCCGGGAGAGCTGGAGGGCCTGTGTTCTCAGGGGCAGTCACCTTCCCTTCTGGCTACTTTGCTGTCCTGAGGAAATGCCAGTCTGGAGCCAGGAGCTTCTTCCAGGGCTCCCACAGGGGTGCAGGGTCTCAAGGACTTGGGCCATCTTCCACTGCTTTCCCAGGCCACAGCAGAGAGCTGGATCGGAAGTGGAGCAGCCAGGACTCGAACTGGCGCCCATATGGGATGCCGGCGCTGCAGGCGGCGGCTTTACCCGCTCCTCCACAGCACCAGGCCCAGACACCAATCCTTGTTTCAGTGAACTTTCACCTTGCCCCAGGCATCCCAGGCTTCACTCTGCCTCACTGTTAGGAAGTGAACAGTGGATAGGAGCACTCTCTATCACCTCTGTCTCTAATCTCTATCTCTCATTGCCAAAAAAGTGCAGGTATCCCAAGTGGTGCTGGTCACATGAGCCTCTGCAGTAACATTCTGGACACAGAGCCCTAATTAACCTCACAGAAGGAAAGAGCATCCGTGCAGGAGCAGCCCAGGAAAACCTCACAGAGAACAAGGGAGAGACAAAAGGATGCGTGGAGCTGGGGGCAGGGCGGAGGCAACTGGTCAACCCCGGCGGCAGTTACAGCGACCTCAGACGGAACGGCTCAGGCCTCCTGCTGATTGGTCAGTGACTGCCACGGCAGTTGTATGTGTTTTGCCTGCCATGGCTGTCAGTTAGAGGGAGCCTTATCGGGACAGGCACTGGGAAGGGATAATCGCCTGCTCTGCTCACCCAACGGTAAGGAAATCAGACTGCCTGCTGTCCAGCTGGGGCAGTAGCAGGACGCCCAGCTGCTCAGCTACAGCAAACGCTAGCCGGAAGGACGCTGACCGGCAAGCAAGGGTCTGGTTTCTTAGCTTAGGGCGGTGGGGAGGAACGGAGCCTTCTAGCCTTGCTGTGTTTTCGGGGCCCCTCAGTGGTTGAGTGGGGGTACTAGGAGGGCAGTTTTAGCAGCTGGTTGTGACATTGCAGCTCTGAACTAGGAAAACAGGCCTTAGGGCTCGTGTGTGCATCGCTTTTTAAATATTAGCTCATCACGGACTGCGTATGGGAGACGTCTAGTGTTCTAGGCGACCACTGATGTGGTCTGGTGATGCGGCCCTCTGATCCCAGGGCAGACTCGCGGCTGGCAGGAGGCACACGCGCATCGCTACAGAAGTGCCTGGGTTTCCGTCTGAGCTCCGCTCATGTCCACTTCCTGCTACAGAGCACCCTGGGAGGCAGCGGTGATGGCCCAAGTTCTTGGGTCCCAGCCGCCCAGATGGGAGACCCAGACTGGGTTCCTGGCTCCTACCGTCAGCCTGGCCCAGCCCCCGCCATTGGGCCATGGTGGGCATTTAGGGAAGAGAACTGGTCAAAGGAGGCTCTCGATCGCTTTTTCTGTCTCTCAAATTCTGTCCTCGGGCCCTCTCTCTTTCCTGAGCAGCTGTCTAACCAGCATCACACCCGAGTGCCCTCACTTCCTGTCTCTGGCTGCTCCGGTACAGTGGCTGGCCAGGATGCCCGAGGCAACCCCCTGGACACTCACTCACGTGGGGTTAACGACATCCTGTGGGAAGACCATCACCCACTGGGGCCGTGAGCTCTTACATAAATGCTTCCCCTCCCCCCAGCCCCCAACACAACCGCTCGGAGACACATTTCAAATTCGTGAAAGTCCCTGTGGGATCAAGCAGTCATCTACAGAGGAGGCTCCCTAGCTGGCCCTGGCTTTCCTTCTCACCCTCCCGCCTCATCCCCCCAGCAAACCCTCCTGCTCCCTGCAACACATTCCCAAATAAACTGCCCGTGAGTAAAAGCTCCTGGCCCGTGCTCTGCTTTGGGGAGTCCGGGCTGGGGAGAACAGGCCCTTCACTATCAGTCTTTCAGAGCCGCTGTGGTGGAAACCATCGCGGTGTCCCCGCCCCAGCAGGAGCCGCAGCCTCCTGTGGCTCACATCTTTCCTTGGCTTCCTAGTGATACCAAGGAGGCTGTAGAACTCCTATACCCAGCCGGTGGTGGTTTTAAGCCCATAGGTGGTAATTTACAATACTGGGAACAGTAGAGAATGTAGCCAGGAGATCTGGACTTGAGCTTTGCCACCTGCTAGGGGAGTGTCTGAGGGTCAGTCCTACAGCTCTTGAAGGCTTTAGTATCCCCGTCTATGAAATAAGGACACTGGGCGCTGGGATTGTGGCAACAGCCGGCTAAGCCAATGCTCGCAACACTGGCATGCTATATGGGAGCTCTGGTTCAAGTCCTGGCTGCTCCTCATCCAGCCTCCTGCTACCGCTCCTGGGAAGCAGTGGATGATGGTCCAAGTCCTTGGGTCTTCACCCTGACCCGACTGTAGCTGTTGCAGCCATTTAAGGAGTGAGCCAGCAGTTGGAAGGTCTCTTTCTGTCTCTCCTACTGTCTCTCACTGTTTGAATTAAATAAATCAGTTGGTAAGCGACTACCGTCCCAGGGTTCCTGCAACCATGAAAGAGGACCACCTGTGGTGAGCACATGCTAATGTGAGCACCCAGCGTCCACCTCCCTTCCTCCTGCCGACGCCAATTCCTGTTTGGGTGAGCTTCCACCTGGCCCCAGGCATCCCAGGCTCACTCCGTCTCCCACTCCAGTGTCGGCCCTTTAGATTCTCATTCACCACTGACCTGGTCACAGGGCCTGGACGGAGCAAGGAGAGATGTGGTGAGAGACGGGGGACTGAACTCCAGAGCGGGGAGCCAGAGCTGGCAGCCCCTGGAGCATGGCAGACAGCAGTGCGTGGCCCGGGGAGCGTGCGCCCGGCCAGGAAGCAGGAAGCAGGAATGTGAGGGCATTGCGCTTCCGAAGCCAGCCGCATCTACAGCCCATGTGACCTTGCCCTCTGCAGACGGGCCAGTCGCTATTTTTTCTTTTTTATTTGACAGTGGGAGAGAGAGAGAGAGAGAGAGAAAGAGAGAGGTCTTCCTTCCATCGGTTCAATCCCCAAATGGCCGCCACGGCCGGCGCTGAGCCAATCCAAAGCCAGGAGCCAGGTGCTTCCTCCTGGTCTCCCATGCAGGTGCAGGGCCAAGCACTTGGGCCATCCTCCACTGCCTTCCCAGCCACATCAGAAAGCTGGACTGGAAGAGGAGCAACTGGGACTAGAACTGGTGCCCATATGGGATGCTGGCGCCGCAGGGGAGGATCAACCAAGTGAGCCCCCGGTGCCAGCCCCCGCCAGTCACTAATATTTTACTGCAGCCAGTTTGAGTCAGACCTCACACAGAGATTCCCAACTTTCTGAGGATGTAAATTATTTCTTTTTCTTTTTCTTATTTGACAGGCAGAGTGGACAGTGAGAGAGAGAGAGAGAAAGGGCTTCCTTTGCCGTTGATTCACCCTCCAATGGCTACCGCGGCCAGCGCGCTGTGGCCAGCGCACCGCGCTGATCCGAAGCCAGGAGCCAGGTGCTTCTCCTGCTCTCCCATGGGGTGCAGGGCCCAAGCACTTGGGCCATCCTCCACTGCACTCCCTGGCCACAGCAGAGAGCTGGCCTGGAAGAGGGGCAACCGCGACAGAATCCGGCACCCCGACCGGCACTAGAACCCGGTGTTCCGGTGCCGCAAGGCGGAGGATTAGCCTAGTGAGCCGCGGCGCCGGCCTAAATGAGTTCTGTAAACTGTATTTTACAACAAAAGCATCCATTCGTTATTTTATGACTTCTGATGAGCAAAGACAGCTATGGCCCAAGGAGCAGGTTGACAAAACTCCCTGAGCTTTTAATTCAGTGCCTTCTTTTGGAAATAATTTAGGTCCTAACATCACAGTCCATTAAAAAAAAAAAAAAACATAGATCCCAATCAGAAAAACTACCTATGTAAAAGGAAACAAACCTTTTTTAAAAGATTCATTTATTTATTCAAAAGGCAGAATGACAGAGCAAGAGGAGGAGACAGATCTTCCATCTTCTGGCTCCCTGCCCCACTCCTCAGATAGCTGCAGCGACCAGGGCCGAGTCAGGCTGAAACCAGGAGCCAAGAACTCCCTCCTGGTCTCCCCACGGGGGAAGGGGTCCCTCCTGGTCTCCCCCACGGGGGAAGGGCTCCCTCCTGGTCTCCCCCACGGGGGAAGGGCTCCCTCCTGGTCTCCCCCACGGGGGAAGGGGTCCAAGCACTTGGGCCGTCATCGGCCGCCTTCCCAGACACATCAGCAGGGAGCTGGTCAGGAAGCAGAACAGCTAAGGCTCGAACCAGCACTCTGGTGTGGGATGCCACGTCATGAGCAACAAACTAATGTTGCACCATGATGCCGGGCTGGAAACAAACATTGGCAAACTTACAAAACCGAATTTTATATCACAAATCATAAAAGAAAATACTCTCAGATTTGGTTGCCTAAAAATATAGAAACTGCTATGTGGTCAAACCAACCCCATACTAAAAAGTTAAAATGTAGGTAACCAACTGGGGGAAATGTTGGGAGCTTATATGACAGAGTAAGGATCGACCATTTCAATATACAAAGAGTTGTTACGATTCAATAGGAAAAAAACCATTCTCTCCATAGAAAAATAAGTAAAACATTTGATCATGATTTCCAAAGAACAAATGAAAAGATGGCTCAACTTAAGCTCAAAGTCAGGTGCTATCAGGTTAGGAAAGGTTACAACTATTCTAACAACTGATAGATGTTAAGTGCCAGGCAGAGAAGTGTGTGAAGGACTATTACAGAGCTTTTAAACAATGAAAGGGAATGGCAACAATAGAAAATTGGCACAACACTTATAATTTATTCTCTACTGAAATGCATCAAGGGTGTTGGGAGGTCTTTTTTGAGGGTGGGGGTCTAGGCAATGACTTTTATTGTTTTCCCCCAGAAACCTTTTATTTAAGGAATGCAAACTTCATCCATTTCATAATTACAACTTTAGGAACATGGTGGTTCTTCCCACTGTACCCCTCCCCCACCCCTCTTCCTCCTCCCTTTCCTATTCCAATTCCTATTTTTAACTAAGATCTACTTTCAAGTAACTTTATACACATATGATTAACTCTATGTTAAGTAAAGAGTTCAACAAATAGTATGAAAAAAAAAACAAACCTGTTCCTCAACAGTCGTGACAAGGGCTGCTTCTCAAAGTGTCAATTTCACTTCTACAGACTGCCTGATAGGTGCTGGATTAGTTATCACAGGTCAGGGAGAACATGTGGTACTTGTCCCTTTGGGACCGGCTTATTTCACTAAGTGTGATGTCTTCCAGCTTCATCCACTGTGTTGCAAATGACAGATTTCATTTCTTGTTGTTGTTGTTGTTTTTGCCACTGTGTAGTGTGTACAATATCCCAGATGGGCGTCTGGGTTGATTCCGTGTCTTAGCTATTGTGAATTGTGCTGCAATAAGCATGGGGGTACAGGTAACTCTTTCATATGCTGACTGCATTTCCTTGCTCCTTGGGTAAACTCCCAGGAGTGGGATGGCTGGGTTATACGTAGGTCTGTATTCGGATTTCTGAGGCACTGCCACACTGTCTTCCACAGTGGCTTTTAGGTAGGTCTTTAAGTGTTTCCACGGCCAGAGGTGTGATGTAATACTTGAGGTTCCTGGACTTTGTGCAGAACGCCCTGTGTATAACAATACAAGCATTTCACACACACTAGTAACGTCTGGAAGTAAATGCCGATGATTCATAATGGTTATCTCTCCGGTGTAAGAGTACACAGACCACTTCACGTGACGTTGGTACAAAGTTTGTGTATTTCTGTTCCAGAATAAATGTGCACATCCGAGA